TTGTAGTTACTACAATGTCCTCTTATCTCTACCTAAAGTCTTTGAGAAAGACACGCTCGACCGGTAGATTCGTCTGCGGGTCATGGACCATCTCCTTGTAGATAAGGAAATGTCTACCACTGACAAGGGTGCTCTGTGGTAACCTACAAAAAAAGTGCATGAGGAAAATGAATCAGACAGGGGAGCAAATTTCTCTGGTACAAATTCATCACAACAATGACAAGCAAGAGAGAATGCAATGACAATGAAATTAAAAAACTTACACAAAGTCGCAGTCGTTTTTACGACCAAAGACATAGCCTCCAACACCTGCTTCGCCATCGTCACCTGTCTTTGTGAATTGGACAATGTGCTTCTTGCCATTTTCTTCGTATTCAAAAGAACCCCAGATGCGAGGGCGCGAAGGTCGCGCGGCTGGCGCGGTTGATTCTGATGAACTCATCATGGGAACTGTGTCGAGTCAATAGCAACAGCAATATATAAAGAAAAAAGTGGTTCCCACTTAGTTGCAATTGTCAGCAAAACAATTGTGAGAATGAGCAAGTGTATGACTGCAAAGAGAGATTGACGACGACGGTTGTGCTTGGCCGCTATAGAGATTCGGTGAGTTTGGGAATGAAAATTAGAAAAGGGAAAGAAAAAAGAATTCCAGGTTCCGAGGAAAAAGAATGAGCGCCAGTTTTTCAGCGTGCGAGTGAATGTGTGACAGGAACCAAAGATGGAAGGAATTGAGAAGTATGGTATGCTTTTGTGTCTAAAATGGGAGCCTAACGACAAGACGGCGTGTAGAAAATGAAATGAAAGGGGCCTCGAGGGTTGAGCATGAGCACTCGCCTGCCTTACTTACATGTTGCGAGTTGGAAAGAAGAAGAAAAAGTAATGGGGAGGGATGATGAATGTACAGTGCAATGAAGGGTGAGAATGAGAAATGGTGGCAAAAAGAGAGGTCTGGATGGGATTGGAATTGAGAAGAGAGAAGAGAAGAGAAGAGAAGAGGGAAAAAGTGGGAAAAAAAGACAAGTGGGAGGGAAAAAAAGGGGGGGAAGAGGAGGGAGAAGATGAACATGCTCTGCTATTGGCTGATGGATGATGGATGGCTTTGATGGGTTGAAATGGTTGTGCTTGGTGGCAAAAATACGCATATGCCATCCATGTGTTGAGTGTGTGTGTGTTGAGTCGTATCGTATGCATCCATGGCAGAGATGCATGGCATGGCGTCGTCCATTCTATCCGTCCCATTCACCTCCCTCTGCTTCCACTTTGTGCAAAAAGTGTGAGGCTCAATGGATGGACGGGAGAAACAACGCTTCACAGTTGAGAAAAGGAAAGGAAAAAAATGTATTTTTATTCCATGCTGACCTACCAGCGGTTTGCTTCTTCATGTCTTATGGTGACGATGATCAGAGATGATGATGATGATGATGATAACAAAAGGCGGTGACCAGTTAGTTGCCAACATCGGAACATAGAAAGTTGAATTTCCCTTTTTCAATGTCATTCTCACTCCCTCATACACACATACATACACGCACACACACACACTCTCTCTCTCTTTTGCTTCCAATAGTGATACGTCCAGGTCGGGGCCATGGTGGCAGCTGGGAGGACTGATGATCAGGTCAGACTTTTGCCCCTCACCACACATACAGACACACACACACACACACATGGACATCTCTCTTCAGTGTCGACACGACCTCATTCTCGACTCTTGCATGTATATAAACCAAGGTCCTTTTCCTTCATCTCTTTCATTTCCTATGTCTCTTCCATCCTTTCGCGAACGACTCTTTCTCTCTCTCTCTCTCTCTCTCTCACTTTACACTTTCTCTGTGAACGTGACCCGCCAACTTCCATACCTGACCATACTACAGACTCACTCACCTAACATTAACACTCATCATCCTTCAAACTATCTTTCTCACTCACGACAATCCCCTTCAATATATACAGATATATACAATGAACACTTGCTCATTCATCCGGTCTCTCACTAAGGCCACAGTTGCCTGCTTGGCTCTTGGTCTTTTGATGATGACCAGTGTGGACGCAGACAGCCTCGAGTTTGTTAAGCCATCGCCCAACACCAAACTTGTCCCTGGTCAGCTTGTCCCTGTCCAGTACAAAGTCCATCACAATGGTCTGGCACAGCTGCGTTGGGCCAAGGTCCACCTCATGACCGCCAATGGTTATGATTCAGGCTTGGGTACTTTCAACACAGTTTTCCGCTCCGAGTGGCAAGGTGTGTAACATGTATAACGATGTGTGTGTAGATTGTGGATTGTGGATTGTGTGCCTGCGCAATAGATGTACTCGCGAGGCACTAGCACGCATTTTAACCTTTTTTCTATTATTTTTGCCACCCACCGCATTTCAAATTCATGGAAACCAAATAAAGACACCCTCACTGTGTCAACTGACTTTGAAGTCCCCGCCACATTACCCGCGGGAAACTATGTTCTTCACGTCTTTGGTAGCACTCAGCAGCCTTGTGAGGGTGCCGTCGACTTGTAAGTTTCTATTGGCTTCCACCTGGTGTGCTTCATTTCATTGTTTTTCTCTTTTTTTTTGTCATCTGTCATTATTCACTCTTGTACTCATACTCACCACTGTACAATTTTTTCTCTTGATGTAAAACAACAGCTCCCGCAAATGTGAAGGTGTGCTCTCCGAGACTTTGCCTGTTCAAATACTGGACACCCCAGCCAAGTCAAATGTGAATGCAAACGTAGACTCGGTGGACAACACCCAGCCCACGACCGTTACCAGAGTCCTCTCGCTCGCATCATCACTGCTTCGAAAGCGGTCCATGTACGATGGACGTGATACTGGCATTTCTCCTTCAGAGTTCACTCTTGCCAACGGTAGTCCAGACACCCAAAAGATGCTTTACATGTTTTCGCTCATCTAGCCTATGGGGTAATAATACCATCTCTCTACCTCCCATATTTACATCTAATACAAACCATATGACTTGCACAGAACACCAGACACCAGACACCATAGACAATGTAGAAAAGTACAGAAAATACAGAGAACCCTGTCATGAACAGGCAGCAGACATCAAAACAACAACAACCAACAACAACATTGTCTTGTCATTTACAAATACACACAGACCAGGCGGGGCACCAAAAAAAAAGCTTTAAAAAAAAAAAAAAAAAACGCTGCGCCACCTTTTCGCCATCCATATATTGAATCGTTCTCTGCGGATCGTTTGTTCTTTCTCCTTTCTCCTTTCCAAATTCCCTGATCTCTAACAGACCTTGATTGATCTTTGAATTTTCCCCACTCTTTTTCCTTTTCCTCTACTTCTTCTACATCTCCATCTTTGTGTGTCTCTCTCTTCTCTCTTACTCATCTGCTCCAACTGCAATTGTTCACCCGCTCCATTTACAAATCACTGTACAACTGCAAAAGACAGAACCAAGACCTAAAAAAGATTGAAAAAAAAGAAAACAGGGAATTAAAAGAAACCTTGTTCATCAACAACAGCAACAACAGTATCAACAACAACAACAGTAACAACAACCAAAAACACTTTTTAACAATGGACTCTGACTGGTGCCTGTTCTGCGAAAAGCACGTCATGGATCTCGGTGCCGCATACTGCTCAAAGGAATGCGCCCGAATGGACAAGCTCATGTCTGTCACCAACAAGCCTGGATTGTCAACCGTCTCCACCACAGCCTCGACCGTGGCCCCTTCATCGTCGTCGCTCACCTCGGTCAAGCGCTTGGCCCCCATGACCGTGACCTACCCCTCCATGTTCCGCTCCTCAACCCTTGTCCCAGCCTCGATCTCAAGCCGCGGTGGTATCAGTAAGACTGCCTTCACGCCTATTCCTGCCGCCACCACTTCGATCCGATGCCTCCCTGTCAGTCGAAGCGCCGTTCGTCGCCAACCGTTGGTTCTGCACTAGAGAGAGAATTTTTTTTTAATTCTCTGTCATGCTTCCATGTTTTTATTGTTTCTCTACTTTGTTACCTTTTTTTTTGTTGTTACCTTGGCCTCCCACTTTTTTGTTATTGTTATGAACACACATACACACACACATTCATATCCTTTTTTCCCCCCCTCACCCCATTTTTTTTCATCACACCATTGTACACCTTCGATCTGCTCTCTGGACAATTTTTTTTTTACTTGTTCCAGTTTTATCGCCATCGTCGCGTACACCCTTTCAATGAAAGGAGCCTTGCCGAATCAATCAAGTTTCCGTACCGATCGTTTCCGTTTTTCGCGGCGTTTTTCTTGATGGTGGACATCAAACATTCTCCATCATTGAAGAATCCCCCGAAAACACTCATTGTTTTTCCTTTAAACGATGCCGGTCTCTTGTCGTCAAGTAAATCATTTTTCCCAAAAAAAAAAAATGAGAAAAGGAAGAAAAAAGAAGCAGGGAAATCTGTAGGGAAGAACAAGAAAGTAAAGAAAAGGGTACAAGTGGATGGAGGATAGTATTTTGCAAAACATTCGTTCTAGGAACCATTCATTTGGATCTCTTGGTTTTGAATCACTTTGCAAAAATGCTTTACTCCAAGTTGAAAGTCCACTCTACTCTGTCTTTTTTCTCCTCTTCCTCTAGAACTTTCTCGACTTTTTTTTTATTTTTTCATTTTCTCTTTTTTTTTTTTTTTTTCTTTTTCTCTTTCATTGTTTCCAATTGCATACTGAATTGAAAAAAAAAGGCTTGAAGAGGGCGAGAAGAGTATTTCATTCTGCAATGACTCTTTTCTCACTCTCTTTTTCCTTTTTTTCACTTCAGGAGGATTGTAATGGCATTTGTTGAGACTCTTTCAGAAAAAGTAAAAAACCCAAAAAAAATTATAATAAAAATAAAATTTACTTTAAAAGTATTCACTCGCTTCTTGATGTTGTCTGCGATGTTGGATGTTGTCTGGTCTGGTCCGTCTGTCATGAGTGAACAATGCTGCTGACTTGTCGTGTCAAGAAAGAAAATGGGAAAAAAAATGAAAAAAATGATGGCATGATACCAGCGTCGGCTGCAGGATTTGAACCTGCGCGGGAGGATCCCATGTGATTTCAAGTCACACTCCTTAGACCACTCGGACAAACCGACCAAGGACAAGTGAAAGTCCCGAGAATCACGGTGCTTGTTCAACCATGGCACGTCGGACCCATCCAAAGGAAATCTTTGTGCAAATCGTACATGTTGCACGTGAACAAATTGATTTGGTGGCAAATTGCAGTGCTCTCTCAAATAGAGAGAGAGAGAAAAAAAATAAATTCTTGAGAAAGTGATCGCCGCTTCAAATGAACGAAGGGAGGCAATCCTTCTTCTTCTCACTGTTTTTTGAATGTCGTTTTTTTTCCATCCATGGAGACCCTCAAAGAGGAGGTCAAAGAAGCCTAAAGCCCAACGCGGGGATCGAACCCGCAACCTTCAGATTAGAAGTCTGATGCTCTACCGATTGAGCTAGCCGGGCGTTCTATGGAGTTCTGGTTTCGCGGTTATGCCCTCTCGTCTGACTACATTGATTCCCCCCTTCCTCCAGCACGCCATATGAGCCATGACATTTGAAAAAAAAAAATCTGTAACTGTTTCCATCTCCTGCTATTTTACACACTCCAATTGAAAATGGCTGACTCGATGTAGCAATAAGAATAGGCTAGAACAATAGACAATAGACAGCAGTGCAATAGACATTGACTTGAAGACTGCTACGAAAGCAACTCTTTTTTTTTTTTTTT